GCACACACCTGGTAGTCCCAGATCTTCACCAGGCGGTCATCTGCCCCAGAAATGAGGTATGGCTTGTCCCCACCACTGTAATAGTCAATGCAGTTCACTCCTTTCTCATGGCCTTCCAGGGTGAAATTGGGAGAGGATGATCCAAGCTGCCACACCTGACCAGTAAAACACAACCACCTGTACCCAGCAACCTGCTGTGTCCAGGTCATCCCTGGCACACACAACAGGTATCCAGAAGTACTTCTCAAGTCCAAAGAGAAGTAACACAGAATTCCAAAGACAATTGTTTTCTTAGGTGAAAAACCTCAACAACTGCTCAGCAGTCCTTCCCCCAATAAACACAAATAACATCTTGAATTGCCCATGCTCTCTGCTCATACCTCTAAACATTGAAATTAGTTGCTTTAAACTTTTTTTTAAGGATATGAAACTATATAAAGCACTGTTTTTAAGAAGTACTATGTGTTTATAAAAATAGCTAGTAACTAATTGCTATTATACATGAGTTTCCTCCATGTCCTGAATTTTATTTTTTCCAGTTACACTAAAGAATATAAAATCTCATGTTAAATGAGGAATCAAAATGAAGCAAGTCAAGTGTAGATATACTAGTGTCTTCTCATGTTTATCACATCAAATCAACATTTATGTGCACCTGATCTCAACATCTGTGGCCATATGAAATCAGTGCTGGCTTTTTACAGCCAATATACTGAGAATGTACAGGCAATCTGAGGAGGTATTACTGCTCAGTGGCTGCAAATCTGTAGTCACAGATATTTAGTAACAGCTGCACAGCAGATGAGACCATGAGAAGGCTGAAGGCATCTCTGGAAACAATTCCATGCACAGACAGCCAAGGACACCTTTACCAGGGTTGAGTTTCAGTTTTTAGTGCACAGTTAAAGTATTTATCCGCTATACAGTTTAAATACTCATAAATTACTCATTGAAAATAAAACCATTACTTCTCTCCATTTTTCTGTGCAGTCCAAATGGAAATACAGTACTTAAAAGAGTTTAAAGAACTATTTTTCAATTGTTAGAGGCAACAGATAATCTGGTATATTTAGTGAATTTTTCAGTCAAAATTCTATTTACTGCACCTGCTTTTAAGAATACTGACCTATCATCCATACAGGATTTTGGTTTGTGTACACTAATAAAATCACTTAATGACTAAAAAACCATAAATATCGTTTCCCTACCTTAATTGTCCTATCCAAAGAAGCACTGGCAAACTGGTTATTGTCTTTTGGGTTTATGACAATCTGCATGACGTAATGGGTGTGCCCTTCAAACACCTGAGAACAAGACCATTTCTTGTCCCAGTCCCAGAGTTTGATCAGCATGTCATCTGGAAAAAAACACAAACAACAAACCAGCAAGCTTCAGTGGGTGATAACAACCTCCTCAAAGTGCATAATCCTCCAGAATTTCATGGTAGAGTATGGACAGGAGGCACTGCTAATAATCTGTTTGCATCTATAGGATTATCAGTCCTCGCAGAAGGACCACAGGGAGATGAAAGCTGTCTGTTGCTTTCAAGTCAGATTCCCAGCTAAAATCTTACTCCAAGCCACAATGAAACTTTTTAAAAAACACAACCTGAACTGTTATTTGAGAGTCTGACACACTAATTAGCACATATACAAATGTTTCCTCTGGGAGATAATAAGAGAGAAGGCTCTTTGCTCTTCTCTGACAAGAACACAAGCCATTATATTTTAAATTTTAAGTGCAGCTGATATTCCATTAAAAAAACATGAATGCATCTACCAAGAAACAACAAAATTACAACTGTCATATTGGCTTCTTGCTCAAGGACTCCTGAGTCTTCCCAAGAAGACCTGCAAGCCCTCACTCCACAAGAAACAGGAGCCTGAGAAGAGCTGAACATGCAAAGATCCCACAGGACTCACCACTGCTCGTGAGGATGAAGGGCTGCGTGGGGTGCACTGCAATGCACCGGATGTAGTCGGAATGGGCCTCAAACATGTGAACTCTTTCCAGGGTGTTGTAATTAAAAACTCTGATCTGCATGTCATCCTGGAAAAGGCAGAAAAAGCCACATGAAAAGAAATCTCTTGTGCAGTCCACCTTCCGTGCAATGCCGGGGAGCTAGGAAAAAACATTCCACCATTAAAGACAACAAAATGTTTAGGATTTTTTCTTGCCAATGATACAAATTATACATGGATTCAGAAGGCTATAAATGACACACTGCTGTTTCAAGTCATTTATGAATTGGAAAAAACTTCAACCAAATTTTCATTTTTACAAGTAACTGAGTCATGGCAGCATATGGTAATGAAATTAAAATACATTTTTACACTGGGTACAGGGCAGAAGACTAGGAAGTAAATGTTGAGACAAAAATATTTAGGCATTACCTTAATTTAGCCAAAAAATATTGACTCCATAAAGAAAAATGTGTTACCAAGATCAGAATACAACTATTCCTCTCAAGGTACATTCACGGAATAAAAGAAGACATTTTTTTCTAGTGGTGAGCAAAACTAAAAAATTATTTTTAATATAACCAAGAAAAAAAGTAGAAAGCAATTTCAAATTTATCTTACCTAGGACTGTCAATAGTTTAATCTGAGTTAAAGTAGCACATATGATACTGAGTCAGAACTCTGTGCTGAGTACATTCCAGATGGCAGTAAAAGCTGAACTCCATCTACCTGGTATTACCTGCAAAGTCAGTCACCTTAGCAGGTTGCTCCCTTTTGAAATGAAAATTTAAGCTTCTAAGCTTCCTTAAAGGAGAAAACTTCTGGGAAACTGTATTCCCTTCTCCTCTACAAAATCGTATCACATCAGATTATTCCGTGATGCAGAAAACAATGGGATGAAAATTGATCAGAGAAAGTGCAGCTGAATAGGAAATCACAAGAGGAAACAGCTTACAGCTCCAGTAACAACCCAGTTCTTCCTTGCCACGAACTTGGCAGCTCTCACAGGCAGGTCACACACTTCAAAATTCTTCACCAAAGTCTGAAAATAAAAACAGTTACAGTTTATAGCACTGGAGAAAATCCTGACTTTGAAATGAGCTCTTTCTATTTTCTTAATGGTGTCCACTATGTCACTTCCTTGTCCGCTGATACAGTGACTCCTGTACTCAGCCAGAGGGAGCACAGTCAGTTAGCAGCAGTGACTGAGAATCCTGTACAAATTCAGTTTTCCAGCACCAGATAACATCTGTCAGTTACGCACATTTCACAACAAGGTCCAGCTAAAGCCCTCACCTGTGTCTCATGGTTCCAAACACAGACACTGCCGTTGTAGAGGCTGGCCAGCATCCATGGCTCCGTGGGATGCAGGTCCACGCTCTTCACACGGTCAGAGCGGGCCGTCAGCTTCCGCTTGATGTCCAGTCGCAGAGGCTGGGGGAAACAATTGGGAGTACCAGGTGATTTCACAGCAAACCAGCTCAGAAAAAGGAAAAGGAGAGCTGCAGTTCACTCTGAGAATGAAAGGACTCAATCCCGCTGTCCATGCAGACAGATGGTTACTACTCTTTTCTCTCTGTGTATCTGTTTTTGTAGGTCATATCCCACCAATGGCAGTTGCTCTGCTTAATTTAATTCTGTGACATCCAGAATTTCTTCATACTGCAGAAGTATCACCAGCAGAGTAAAAAAAAAAAACAAAAATGCACTGCACATCCTCCTGGTGTCCCTGAACTATGAAAGCAAAGCTAAAAGAACTTGCTTCTAATACAAATATTAGAAAATAAATCTTCCTGCTACTTCACCTGACAAACCAGGAAGAAAAATCACTACCACAATAGAGCCCAAACAACATTTGCCCATTATAAATTTACTGCCATTCACAATTCAAAAATTATGTTTTAGAACGGAACACTGTCTTGTAGAAACTGACATCAGGGAAAAGTTTAAGTCTTTCTCTTACAAAGTCGGCTCTGACCTTCCACTTTAATCACTGGCAATGTACAGCCAGAGTATTTAAAATGCATGAAGTCTAGCAAAGTAATTTTCTAATACATTTGAGGCATTATGGATTCCTTTAGACACTCACTGGAGATCATTTAACGCTGCTTTTATCTCACAGAACTCAGTGGATAATGGCTGACCAAAGAACACTGCACGTATTAATAAAACCTGCAGTTATCTGTCAGACACTGCAAGGAAAAAGAAGCACCTGGTTATCAGGTAGCACCTGTACCACAGCTGTGACATGGGATGTGGAGATGAATTTGGGTTCACCTCTCCTGCTGCAAACAGCAGAAAGGCAGGCACAGCTACACTTGGCTCCGCGCTTATCCCGGGAACCGCTGGGACCCGCAGCTCCCGAGGGACGGGATGCGTCCCGAGATGCAACACGCACCCCGAGCCCGGGACAGCCGCTGCCTGGGCTGAGAACACCACGGGCAGCACCACACTGCTGCTGCTGCTGCTGCTGCTGCTGCTGCTGCTGCTGCTGCTGCTGCTGCTGCTGCTGCTGCCGCCGCCCCGGCCCGGCCCGGCCCGGCCCGGCCCCCCATGCCCTCGGTCCGCCCAGCGCGGGGTCGCGCTGCCTCGCCGGGGCCGGCTCGGATGGTCACCGAGGCGCCCCCGTGCCCTGTCTGTCGCTCACCATGGCCCCGCTGTGCCGAGCAGCCGCCCGTCGTCCCCGCTCCGGCTCCGGCCCCGGCCCCGCTCCGGCCCCGCTCCGGGCCCGATCACCGACGTGGAGCTTCCGGGGCTCCGCTCTCGCCACGGCGCCGCCGCGGCGCCCCGCAGCCTCGCGAGAGCGAGGCGCTCCCGTGGCATGCCGGGACATGTAGTCGGCGGCGCCGGGCCCCGCGGCATGGCGCGGGGCAGGGTGGGAGTTGTAGTCGGCGCGGGGCCGGCTGGGGGTTGTGGGGCCGGCTCCGGGCCGCTCGGGGCCGCGGGGACAGAGCGCGGGACGGCACCTCCGGGACCGAGGAACCCAGCTCGGGCCCTCACTCCGCACCCCGAGCGGCACCCCGTGTGTCTGAGAGCGTTTACCGGCACCTTCTGAACCCTGCCAGACTTGGTGCTGTGCCCCCCGCCCTGCGGAGCCTGTTGGGTGTCCAGCCTCCGTGAGAACGACTTTTTCCTGATTTCCAGCCTCAGCCTCTCCTGACCCGGCTCTCTGCCGTCCCCTCAGGTGCTGTCGCTGTCACTACAGAGCAGAGATCGCTGCTGGCCCCTCGCTTCCCCCCCCGGAGGATGCTGGAGATTGCTGTGAGTCTCCTGCAGGCCGAGCAGAGCAAGTGTCCTGAGGCACTCTCACGGCATCCATCCCGCCTCCATCGGGACTGCTTCGGACACTCCCGAGCAGCCGAACGTGCCGTTCCGTACTGCCGTGCCCAGCCCGTGTCCCCTCAGTGCCCTGTGGGGCGCTCGGCGGGGCGGTGTGAGGCTCTCCGCAGTGCCGCTCCCGCTGTGCCGCGGTGGCACTGCCGCGGGACCCGAGCCCGGTGACAGCGCTCGGGGCCGACTGCCGGGGAGCCCAGCGGGCCCGTCTCTCTCGAACGCAAACACGTGGGCCTGGCCAGTGCTGCAGGCCCCGAGACAGGCAAGGTGACACTTCTCTCAATCATTTTGCCAGCTAAAATTGCTGCAATTCCAAACAGCATCTAACAGAAACATGGGGAATGTGAGCTTTGGGAAGCACCAGAGCACAGGGAACGACTCTTGAGGGAATTTCTCCTACCTCACTCCCAGACTGAAGTTCCATCTCTAAAAATTGCATCCCCCACATTTTGTTGTAGAAAGGAGACGAATAACACGGAGGATCTTTATATTCATTAGTATCCAGTTAAAGAAAATTATCCTTTTGATACAAGTGTTCACCTGGAGACTAGGAGGCCTGTGTCCTCTATCCCACAACAGGGCAAGGATTGCACTGGCCTGGAGTGTTTACAGTCTGAAGGACATAAACAAACCAAAGTGAGAGAGACAGAACAGTTACTACAATTCTTATGATTTTCACTCTGAGGGAGAAAAGACAGATAATTAAATTTTAAAAATACCCTACAAGTCTGATGAAAAGTGAGAAGAGAAAGGCCTGAAGCAAGAAAAGGGGCACAATATTGTCAACTGCTATGGATGAGTTTAGACTTTCAGCTTTCTTTATGTCTTGCTTTTCACTTTTAATTCATTACAGGGATGATTATACAATGTAATGAATAACACTTAAAATGTTTGAGTACAGAATCTGAGGATGCAGAATCAGGATAACCCTGCCTAAAAGGAACAATTTCAGTAAAATGTATGAATTTTGAGTGTAGTTCAGGATTTTTAGATGGCTGAGGTGTAAGAGATGTAGAGGAAAAGAAGAGACATAGAGGAAAGTGACCGTAATACAGAATGTAGATGGTGGGGGGTATACAGCACATATTATGTGCTGTATATTGAAAAACTCAATGAAGCCCTGTCGAGAGAGAGATAAGACCATTACAGGGCAATTAGAGATGGTCAGCAAGGTAAGGGAAAGATGAAGGAGTAGAGCTTGTTAGTCAAGAAAATAACAGCAGAGAAAAGAAGAAATTATTTTGCTGTTAGCTTTTCCTGGGAAGTTGTAGTAATAGAAAAGCTAAGGGGGAGAGAAAAAGCACAGGGTATAAGCCAAGACTGACCTTACAGAAGGAAAGAAGAAATGAAAAAAAGCAATTAAATTTGAAATAAGAAATACGTCTCACAAGCTGTTAGAGGCAAGTTTACGAGTATGAGTTCTGAGTACAAACCATGATCCATTGTGGAAATTAAATGGGTATACAGAGGGAATATGATATGTATTGGTTTGCCTTTCCTGTGGTTTCCTGTGTGCCCTGTACTGACCACTGTTTCACCAGGGGCTGCATACAAAACCCTGGAACCATGGCGTGGGGTTACATGAGAACACAATCTCTGTTTCAGGTGTTTTGTGTAACTCAACAGCTATTCCTGTGCTTGTTTACTGAAAGATATTTTCCAGGTAAAAAACCCCAATGCAGTGTTTTATTGCAGAGTGGTAAAGAGAGGTAACTCTGTTCCTTGTGGGCATTGTTCCTCAGTGTCCCTTGCTCACCTCTGCCTGCCTGGCTCTGCAGTAGCACCTGCTGCAGCTCACCTGGAGCAACACACCTGGGCTGGGCATTTGGCTCTTTCCTCCCAGGCCTGGCATTTTCTTTACTCTGGAGGAAGGGCACAAACCTGAGTTTGCTGTCTCCTCCAGCTACCAGATACGTTATAGACCACAGACAGGGGAAGGGGAGGGGAGAGGGTGAGGCAGGGAAATGATGAGTTGGCTGCAGATGAGAAGAGTGCATCCTAGCTTCCTTCAAAACCCAGAATAAAGTTGTACAGAACATTTTCAGTGCAGTGGGAATGGCCATTCCACAATTGCCTTCCTGTTAGGAACACAGCCAGCATTTCTGTAAGGCTGGATATAGGTGTTTCTGCAAGTGTGTAATAGAGGAGCTGCTAATAGGGTGTTGCAGGACACATTTCCTGTAGGTGCAAAGCTACTTCAAAATCTGTTGAAAGTTCTCAATGCAAAGCACTAAAAAGGACTTTTTTTATTACCCAAATATTTGTCTCTCAGGAGAGGCAATCCACTCAACCTTACTTCTCTGAGTTTTCAGCTTAGATTCTTTTGGCTCTAAAATTATTGGCAGGTTTTGAATATGTTTGGCAATAAAAAGGTTTTTTGGAAGTAGGATATAGCATGTTAAGGTTTAAAAAAAAGTACAGTATCATTATTTCAGAGAAGAAGATGAAAGCAGTTTGGGATACCAATCGCAAGCACCAATTGTTTGTCCTTAGTGTACCAAATGAATTCTAAATGCTGTTTTAACAATAAAATACCAGTTCACTTTCTTTTTCTCTCCAGACTAGAGGTCTGCAAACGATAGTCATATGTGGCACTTCCCATATGTGTGAAAATTCCTATTCAGCTCTGGACTGCTATCAGGTAGAGCCATACCTAGAAATAAATAATAAATGTAATTTATTATTAATATAATAATAGATGTAATAAATATAATGTAATGTACATGTATTACATGTAATATTTATATGCAATAAATATAACGTGTGCTGCTACTTGCTGCAGTAGGCAGCTCAGTCCTGGGGTCCAGGGTTTCTTTGCCCTGACTGATGTACCCAGGACACAAATTCTTTCTCCAGGCTTCAGGCACTGCAGGTTCTCCTCACAGGGTTCTGTGGCACCTTGTGGGATCTCTGCAATTTACCTGGGGCTCAGCTCCCCAGGGCCTCGGGGCTTGGCTGGCTGAGCTGCTGCTGGTGGTTTGCCAATTCCCTACCTGAGCTACCCTGTAACCTTAAGCACTGTGTTGTTCTCATAAAGTCCTTTCTTTTAGGAGAAACAGAGGCACTCACCTCTTCAGGTCAGCTCCACAGTATTGTGAAGTGTTTATTTCATGTGGAATTAATGTTCTGTGCTGCTGTTTGCCAGGAGTTAATACTTGCAGTGCAGTGAACTGAAGCAAAACTCGTTGCAGCCTTAACTTGGCAGCCAGTGAAGATTGATGGAACATGGTGGGTTTAAAGGAAAGGTGTTATTAACGTGTAGGTGGCAGAGCTGTGAGACAAACCCCGCTGTAAATCTTAATTAAAGCCTCCCTTGTTAGGACAGCATTTCACTCTGTGGTGGCTCAGGCGCAGCAGTGGTGTGGAATGCACTTTGTCTCCTTTAGTCTGAGCTGCCCAGTGTGTCTCTAAACTCTCTTGGAAACATCCCAGCCTTGGATACAATCCTGACTCACACACCAAACATTAACCTGACTAGAATAATGAGGAATTTAAATGCCAATAAAGATAAAAACTGCCAAAAGGCTAGAGTTCAGATTAGAAAAAATATAACCCCATCCCCTCCAAAATGTGCAACCTGCCTGTAGCAGCCTGATGGTGCCTAAAATAGTTGTTTCCAAAAATGGTTGTTCCTTCTAATGCAATCATGTATGTGGTGCATGCAGAGGAATGAGCTACTGCTGTCAGTAAAGGAGAGATTGGAAAATTTGTATTTTGTGTCATCTAAAATAATATTGCCTGACACTTTCATTACACATCTGCCTTTTCAACTCGCGATTCTGCCAAACCTAAGCCACGTGGGTTTGGATTTTTGTACTGGGTGTCTTAATCTCAACAAGATAACCTATTTCAGACTGTTTTCAAATTTCAGTAGAAAGGTTTACTATTTTTAAGGATTTTAAGTGAGCACAAATACCACCTTATTTAAACTCAGCAACAAGATTATCAGCATACTTTCAGCAGCGTCTGATACAGATTTAATTTAAAGAGAAAATCTAAAGTATTAATTATTGTAGCAGTGTAGTATGTGATACCCACATGCTAATAACAAGGAGAGATGTCTTTAAACAGACAACTCTGAGAAAAAAAAAGGTTGTTAGTGAGAGAGACCAAAGTGTTGTACATAATATAAAGACTCCAGTTCTTGACCTCTTGTGCTACAGCTTCTTTGGGCCCATTTGATTCATTAGATAAGTGCTATCTTTATGTCATTCATGTAATCACTTAGCAAGAACCATCCTGATTGACCTGTTAGTGCTCCTGATTTACTAACACTTACTTCTTGTTTTATTTCCTGGAGGCCACAGTTCCAATTCTGGCATGATTCCATTTTCATTAAGACTGGTGGCAATAGGGCAGGCCTTAACCCACAGAAGTGCTTCAGAAGGCAGCAGTTTATATCCTCCCAGGTATTCCAAGTTTGGAGCTTGTAATTTCTTTCTTTATCAGATTTACAATGCCTTCCACTTTAATAAAATGTTGCTGCTAATGCTCTTTGGCTGAGTTTTGAGGCTTCAGATAAACTTACTCCATTTTCTCTGCTCATCTTCAAACCTGCCAAACTGTTCCTAAGATCTGATTCAGTGAGCAGTTTAGTTTGCCCTGAATATAGTCTTGAGATAACATGAACTAGAAATCCCAAAATGATTTCTTCTTGTCTGAGGAGTATCAGTCCAATAGCTCCTTAAAAATTTCTGTAATGACATTGATTTCAGGACAGAGAGAATCTGTGATTTCCATTTTTATTTGCTATTATGTATTTTTAACTTACCGCTGTTGACTACAGAGCATTCTAAGGAAATGATGCAGCATCAGATTTTCCATAAGCTTGCAAAAATTGTTTATTGAATAGCATGGGTTGTCAGCATCCTGGAAAACTGAGAACGATGTGTTTGTTTTCTATTAAAGCTAGACAAAATGGAGATAGAGTTATTTTTTATCCAGATACAAAGTGGTAATAAAAGGAAATTTAAGAGCAGCACTATGGACACTGGGTCAACGTGAAAGGTTCGTGGCCAGACTTTGATAATTGACTGTGTAAAGGAAGGAAGTAGGTTGTTTTCTCTTGATCTGGCAGTTTTGCATTTTCCAAATGCAGCGGTGAGGCTTCAGCTCCTACTGCAGTGTCTGTACAATGTCCAGAACAATCCAGAATCCAAGGATCTCAATATCCTATCCAACAGCCTACCAGGTGTCTGTCACAAGGGAATAGCAATGATGTAAAACTGCTTTTGTGGCAGTGCAGTGATATCAGACCCTACCTTCCACTTGTGCTTTTCATCAGCAAACAAAGGAAAGGGGATTGGGTTGGAAGGACTGTTGTCACTTAGATCCCAAGGCACGAAGTCTTTTTGTCTTCATCATTTGATAGCAGTCGTTTCCCCATGGGTTCAAATGCAGCTCAGCCTTGTGGTGTGCTAGGCTCAGAACACCAAACCCTGCTGCTGTCTTGGTTATTTACACAGGATGTCAGAAGAACCTTCTAGAAACCCCAAATGTGACCAGAATCCAACACTATTCTCTCAAGATGTGCCTGTCAAATGGAAGGTGGCTTTGTCAACAGGTTTGGAACTCTTTTTTAAATCTATCATTATTTTAAAATTTGTTTACAGCAGTGTAATATGTAGGTGTTTTTCTAGGAAAGGTCAAAGCCCTCTGTATTTATGATTGGAGCTGCATAGGTACATGGTTTATGAGTTTGCATTGTGTTCAGAAAACCAGCAGCACACAGGATTCTGTGGCATTTCTGCAGCACTGAATGTGTGTCTTCATATCCGAAGATTTTTCTTCACAATAACCCAGCAACAAGTTGTTTATGTAGGAGAGGAGGCCATGATGAAAGCTATATTAAATTTTATCCGTGCTCTTTTACAATAATCACACATAAATAACATACTTCCAGAGGCAAATGTAACAAATGTAATGTTCCCCATATCTAGTAGGACCTGAATCATTATTTTTTTTCAGAGATACAATCATATATTAAAAAATTCAACAAATATTAGTGTGTGGCGTGTACTTTCTTTGTGTAGTCTGAAGACTGCAAGTTATCTCAACAATCTCTGCCTATTGGTTGAATTTCTAAACTCAGACTATAGCAATGAATTATTTTAGCTTTGAATAGCTCTTTTTCAATTCTTGCTCAGTATATTACATAAATGGAACCTGACATAGGATTTGCAGCATTCAGATATTCTGGACAAATTCATTCCCAGAGATGAAGTATAAAATCTATTGATGAGTACAGAGTCTCAGTTTAGACTAAAAAAGTTTAGGCTTTTAATGCTAGAGGCTTCTGGTTCAACTCGTATGCTGATGTTCTTGCCATTCTGTAATAGAGTCAGCTTCACCCTCCCTCCAAGCAGTGATAATTACTATCACTCACACATATTTTTATATCCTTTCAATTCATCTATCGAAAATGGAGATGGATTATTTCTTATATGGCTTCCCAAATTAAAACTGAGGAGTTTTAACAACATGTAGCCAGTGTGTTTTTGGAATTTCATCCCCCCAAAGTAAAAGCACTTGGAAATTTGTGATAGGTTATGCGTACAAAAATGATCTTAACAGTTCTGTTCTGAAAAAGAAATGACAAGGATGTTATTCAGTTTTCCACAGAGGTATGGCAATGATGACTATTTTTGGTTTGAGGGAAGAGGGCAGTGTGAGTACAAGATTCACCACTCGATGGCGCCTTGATTCTGTTCATCTCCATTTCTTTTTCCTCTCTGATGTCTGGACACAAAATCCCAAAACTGGCTTTGTAGTAAATCAGTCTGGGAAAGAATATTTATCACATATTTCTAAACGATAGTTTTTAATGTCTTATGCAGAAGTAAATAAAATTATTTAATTTTTCACTGATGCCTTTTAACTCCAGTCTTTCAATGATAAAAGGTGAATTCCCTAAATTTTAGTTCAGCAGTTCTTCAATGTAAATATACGTGGGCAGACAACGGCATGGGAATGGTTCCTGGCATCAAACCGACCAACAAGGCTTTTTCCCTTTGTGATACCCTTTGCTGTGTCCAGGGGCTGCACTACACCCATTACAAAACCACCAGATAGAACAGATTTTAGGATTTTGCTCTGTTCTGTTTTGCTGACAAAATCAAGGCTTGTTGTATGGGTTTGTAACTGGAAGAGGTGTTTGATACTTTTTAAAATTAGTTACAAACTTACTTGAGTGAAAATGCTGCCTGATTTTAGACGTGAACTATTCCATGCCAACTGATGAATAGTGTTACATTCCAATGTATTAGAAATTAGTGCTGGAGTTGTTTGGAAGCTCCTCTGAAATGGGATTCAGAAGATTGACTCTGGCTGCAAAAAGAAGCTGGAAATGTTTACAAAATAACACTGGAGACAATGTCATTCTGTCAGCAGGATCTTTAGTGATTGTGTGTTGGCTCAGAGAATTCTGCTGTTTGGGAAAGTAGATTTGATTTGCACAAGACAAAAACTGGGTTTTGCTGGCTGTCATCATGTTTGTGTTTATAGATTTGTGACAAAAAGAGTTTTTTGGCAATAAGCCTTTGCAGTGTAGACAAGACTTTGAGGAAATTTTTCTATGCTGAAGGTAATAGTATAGAAAAAAAGTGCTTATTGCACTACTCATAGAAGTGCTCTTAAAAAAAAAAAAAATCACTAAATTAAAGCATTTATCTCCAGAGTAGATGTTGCAAATTCTTTTGTGGCTCTAAGTAAGTTCTGAAAGTTACAACCTCACACTTCACAGAAAACTACAGAAACCAAGACATTTCTTTTCTTTTGCTCTCTAAATACTGCCAGATAAGAAGACCTGACATTGAACTGGATATAGAAGTTCTCACATGAAATCTTCTCCTGTTGAGAAGATTTCAATAGAGAGTTGTTCTCTCAACAGAGAACAAAAGATGTTCTCTGATTCTCTTTTTTTTTTTTTTTTTTTTTTTTTTTTTTTTTTTTGCTATATAATCATTATAATGCAGGGGGAAAATGGTGATAAAAGCACCTTTATGATCCTCAGTCAGTGGAGATTAATTACTGCTGAGGCAGCTGGCAGGGAAGGATATGATAGTAATGGTTTAATGGTTTCATTACCAAACCTATGGAGTGGTCAGGGAAGAAGGATAAATTATAACCTTTTAACACAGTGAGATCAATTGATAGAAATATTTTCATATTTTTGTCCTTATATCCAAGTGGAATCCAGAAAAATAAACAAAACATGTCCTTCAAATGCTCTAGCATTGACCTACTATTTGAGAAAATTACTTATTTAGGGGTACCTGGCTGCTGGGTGCGAGGCTGTGAACACACTTGGCTGCACAGTTCTATCCAGAGTGGATGGACTGAGAACTCTTGGTTGTTCTATTGCTGCCCATCAAGGCAGAGGACTGCAAATATTTGGAATAAGTTGCAAGCCCGGATTATTAGATAAATGGTTGCACTGTTGTGATACTGATTTATTCTATGAAAGAATTTTAATCTGTGTCAATCCCTTTAAGAAACAAATCTGCAGGGTGAGGTGAGCTATTTGAGCCTTATTTAACCCATTCCAAGGTGCCAAAATGTGTTCGATTTTTCACTGGAAGATTCCAAATATGTTCTGGGTCTCTTTTTATTTAAATTCTTTGCAAGTAGGACAGGTACCAAGTTCTGACACATACTTTATAAATAGAACCTGAGATCTGAGAAGCTGTTATGGTGTTTTCATGCATGACCTTGCTTATATTTGTTTATATTGAGGGTAAGCAAAATAGGTTGATTTTCTTTTTTTTTTTTTTTTTTTTTTTTTTTTTTGTGACTTTGTGAGGGATTGACCTTCTTATTTGAAACAGATGACTAAAACTGTATTAACAGCATCTAGAGGTTTATCCTTATGAAGAAGGCAGTTATAAAACCTGGAAGGCCAAGCTCAGGGGAAGGCTGGAGCTGCCTGGGCTTCCACTGGGACCACAGTGGTCTGGCCAAGGGTTCAGCTCCTCCTGCCACTGTCCCTTGACCCCAGCTCTGTCCCTTTGCTCTTCTGCAGAGCCCCTGTACAATCAACATGGCCATAGTAAAACTGGGGCTGTTTCTTGTTTTGGATGACACAAGTCCCCTAAAACAGAAATCCTTCTGTTCTGATCATCCAAGGCCTTGCTGGAAAGCAGTTATTTTTGTTTAGCAACTCTGGCTGTGCTAACATTTTAACTAAGTGCTCATGTTTGCTGTGTATTCAGTTTATGCCATAAAGGAAAGCAATTTGCTGAAATGCTACACAAAGCACCCATTAGTAGCAAACAGCAATCTGTGTTTTCAGAGAATCAAGGCTGTTATTTTATGAAGGGAGCAATTCAACTCTGCCTTAATCCTCTAACCAGTAAAGCTCATCCTCCAGGTGATTTTCCTGACTCTTTGACTGCTTTTGTCTTCTCAAAAGTGTTTAGAAAATGAAACTCTAATTTAAATTAAGTTATACCTGATCATTAAAAGAATACAATATAATATGTATGCATATAAATAAATGTAAACTCTCACTTTTTTTAAATGACAGAAAAAAGTGCCGTATGTCTTATGCCTTTATTTTTGCCTTTATTTTTAGCTGCTTCTTTTCAATATCTAAGCAAAAAGAAAAATGTTTAACTTAAAACCCTTTCTCTAAACATTCAGGAATTTCACTGCATTCATTTATTGTATCAACAGCAGGGAATAGCAATACACATTTTTCTGACCCTGATACTTTGAATGCATTAAATCTGCAGCTTCAGAGTCTGCAGTCTGTTTTCAGTAGAGGCCTGATCAGGATCAGATCTGACTGAACTGAATAAAGGACTCCCTGCAAGTTCTCTGGCTTAAGTAGAACTACTTGCAAAACAAGCTCCAATACTCAGTTCGACACCCTTATAATTATTTCAAAAGCTTAAAATTAACTAAAACCATATCAAGAAAAGATAAAATTATATATTTTGAGAACCTACTGTTGTCTTGTTACACCAATTGACTTTTATTGTGACTCTGGCTCACTTTTGTGCCAAAGCTCAATAACCTTTCTCTGCTCAAGCTGGGAAGCAGGACCATGGAGTGGGGGGCTGTTCAGGCAACATAGAAAAGGCACACTGAACTCTTCAGATGGCCTTTAGGACTGCTGCCCTGTTGGAAGAGCACTGCTTTAGTCTGGTCATAAGGAAATTTAAGTAATCTTTGGCTTTATGGCACCTCCAAGAGAAAACATATACTTTCGTTGGTAAAGTTCTTTTCCCCTACACCTGTGTAGGGGAAGATGAGCAAATTTTGAAAAAACAAGTCAGTTCCTAAAGAGACAGCCAGAAAAAGACAAGTCATATCATTTAGTAAATAGAACAAATATTAAATATTGTAAAGTAGACAATGAAGCAAGTACTGCTGTGAGCAGCAGAACCACCAAAGCTTGGTTTCTAGGGGATTTTATCTCATGCTTAAGTTCATTGGCATACAGCTGAAGGTTTTCCATTGTTGCAGGCATTTATCCTAAATGGTTTTTTGGGACTTGATGAACATGAGCTCACCCAGTAGCCTTTCTTTTACTGGAGATGTTCTATCATGCTATTAATTTTCACATAATATTGTAGAAATATTATATTTAGAGACTTTATACTTTACAGTCAGGTTTGCTTGACCAGTCTGCCCTGGGCAACTGGTTCAAAAGATGTGTGGGTGTAGGCAAACAAATATCGTGGGCACCTATGAAGCCTTCTAACCCCTGGATGTGAATACATGCGTGTGTAAAGATGCATAAATATATATATATCCATGGATATGGTACATGTGTATATCCAAAAGTGAATGAAATAGAGGTGGCAGGGGAAGGCAATTAAGAAATTACAGGAAAACAATTAACTTTGGGTGCAGTGACAAAGGCAGCGAGGGCGCTGCGCATTAAAAAGCAGTTCAAAGTATGCCTGTTGCAGCTTTCACAGGGAGCCATCCCATTTAACTTCCATGCCATGATTTAATTCTGAAGTCATAACTAAGTTTACAGGAAAAGGGTTTATCAGACATTCAGGAAGCCTTTCTGTGGAAGACTGCAACCTAAGCCAAACGCAGCAGAAATCCCAAGTACAGTAGCATGAAAACAGGTAAAGAGAACTTCCAATGTTCCCGTTTCTGGGTCTTGCCATACATTAGTAGCTTTTCTCTTACTGCAGGGCTCTATTTGACCCTTTTCCCCCATAAAAGCAGTCAGAATTGTAGTATCTGTGGGATCTTGTTGCCGGTCTTTTTGCCAAGTGTTGCTGCAGGCACACGGATAGGTTTGCTGACAGAATGTGGATTCTGCAGTGGGACCACAGAGACTCTTCAGGCTCATCTGCTGGTCTCTTCCAGCCCTTCAGCTCTTTGGAGAGCAGAGGCACTGTCTGGTGGCCACCTGCAGTTTCCATGCTACAGTTCCAGGCTACTCCTTCTTGTCCTGTCGATCCTTTCCTCTCCTGAAGCATGGAGTGTGCCCCTATTCCTTCCATGTTTATATTCTTTCTCCAAGTGAAGCCACGTTTGCTCTCTCATAAAATGAGGCTCCTCATCTTTCCATGGATTCCTCCACCTTGAAGATCTCTAGGATATCTACTGCTATCTATTGCATTCCCATTTCTATTTAATGGTGACTGAAGCACTGCACTGTGAGATATAATTAAAGCAAATGTGCTATTTAGAGAATAACTGAAAAAAATTTGCAGCTATTGAAAAGCTTGTCTCATTAGTATTATTTTAAATCTCATTTTCACAAAATGATTTCTTCTAACCCTCACAATCTGCATAATGAAGAAGTAATCAGCAAGCTGAAATTAAAGTATCTGCAACCTCTGCCCTTTACATCAGTCACAAATTAAAGAAAATAATGTCTTCTAGTGAGAAAAAACCTTGGTAAAGAAATCCTTTCTATCAATCTCTCCCCACTAAAGAAAAGTATATACCCTTGCTTAGAAGAATACAAATAAATCTTACTAAGCAACATATTTTAAAATTTAATTATGTCTCCATCAGGTTTTGAAGTAAATGTTGATTTAAAAACCTCAGACTTCTTGCCAGATGGCAGTGGAGTATCTTTCACAAGCAGCAGAGCAGAAGAGCATCCAGGATATCCACGGCAAATTGGGAAGGCATTCTGTGCGTGTGTGTGACCCTCCAGAGCTGCAGAGGAAGACAGCACTGTAGGGCTTTGCCCCAGAGCACAACTGGTAGCAGCTTTAACAACGTTATTCTACAGCCTCTGCCTGCAGTGCTGCTCTCTTCTTTTAGCAGTTCGCAATAAAATGCTTAACTTTTTGGAAAAAAAATTGGCTCAGTGCAGAGGCTTTTAGAAATTCCACCATAAACATTTGTTCCGAACAGCTTTGTCATTGTCATTTGAAAAGCTCAGTAGCAGGTTATGGTAGTGATTCTTTCCCCAGTGCTGCACTCACGAGGAAGTGGTTTTAGGTTGTTCAGGTTTTTCTGTTCTGGATTTATTGGGTTTGCATGGCCAAGCTTTGGCAGGGTGGGAGCTCCAGGGGTGGCTTCTGTGGGCAGCTGCTGGAAGCTTCCTCTGTGTCCAGCAGGGCCAATCTGGCAGCTCCAGAGAAGGACGTGCTGCTGGCCAGGCTGGTCAGTCAGAAATGGTGGCAGCACCTCTGGGAGAGCAGATTTGGGAAGAGAGAAAAAGGAAACTGCACAGCTGTGGGGTGAGAAGGTGAGAGGAGCACCAGCAGGGGCAGGGGGAAGGGGGCAGGAGAGCGCCAGGCACCGGGGCTGGGGCTCCTCTGCAGCCCCAGGTGCAGCCCCAGGTGGGGCAGCTGCAGCCCAGGGGAACATGGGGGAGGCAGAGACCACCCACAGCCCGTGGGGATCCCCCCACAGCCCGTGGGGATCCACAGATCCACTCACAGCCCGTGGGGATCCACAGGGATGCAGAGATCCCCCCATAGCCCGTGGGGATCCACAGGGAATGGAGAGATCCCCCCACAGCCCGTGGGGATCCATCCACAGCCCACGGGGATCCATCCACAGCCCATGGGGATCCACAGGGAATGGAGAGATCCCCCCACAGCCCGTGGGGATCCACAGGGATGCAGAGATCCCCCCATAGCCCGTGGGGATCCACAGGGATGCAGAGACCACCCACAGCCCGTGGGGATCCATCCACAGCCCGTGGGGATCCACAGATCTACTCACAGCCCATGGGGATCCCCCCACAGCCCGTGGGGATCCACAGATCCACTCACAGCCCGTGGGGATCCATCCACAGCCTGTGGGGATCCACAGATCCACTCACAGCCCGTGGGGATCCACAGGGATGCAGAGATCCCCCCACAGCCCGTGGGGATCCACAGATCCACTCACAGCCCGTGGGGATCCACAGGGACGCAGAGATCCCCCCATAGCCCGTGGGGATCCACAGGGAATGGAGAGATCCCCCCACAGCCCGTGGGGATCCACAGGGATGCAGAGACCACCCACAGCCCGTGGGGATCCACAGATCCACTCACAGCCCGTGGGGATCCACAGGGATGCAGAGACCACCCACAGCCCACGGGGATCCATCCAGAGCCCATGGGGATCCACAGGGATGCAGAGATCCCCCCATAGCCCGTGGGGATCCACAGGGAATGGAGAGATCCCCCCACAGCCCGTGGGGATCCACAGGGAATGGAGAGATCCCCCCACAGCCCGTGGGCACCACTGTGGTCAGGAGGTAGAGCTGGGAAGGAGGGAGGGGTGGGAGAAAGGTGTTTTCAGGGTTTGATTTTGCTTCTCATTGTCCTGCTCTGTTTTGTGAGTGATAAAGTCAATTAATATCTCTAATTAGAGCCTGTTTTGCCCGTGATGGTGTCTGGTGAGGGATGTCTCTGCCAGTCCTTATCTCAGCCCATGAACCCTTTGTTGTTTTTTGTCTCCTCTGTGCAGCTGCAGAGGGGAGTGAGAGAGAGGCTCTGGTGGGTTCCAAGAATCCACCCAGGGTCAACCCACTACACTGGATCAGAAGGTTGCTGATAAATTCCCTTCCTGGGGCTGTATTTGAGCAATATTCTCTGTGAGGAAAAGAATCCATGCAAATGGTAATCCTTCAAAACAGCTGAAACAGCACTGTGTGCCAGAGGGCTGAAAAAATGTGAATTAACATTCTTTGATTTACCAGCAAGGTCTGTTCCTCCAGCACAAGTATTTAATCTGCTGACAAGGAGATAAGGGACTCTGAGCAGCTTAGAGACCAGCCTAACATCACAAATATGATACAAACAAGGATAACTTTGGAAGGAATTATAATGCAACAAAATGAGTATCTGCTCTGTCTCCAGCACTGTGCATGCAGTTGTAAAGGATGCTGCAAGTTCTTGTGTATCAGTCTGTGCAAAAATAAAATGTTGCTTTGGAGAGTAAAAAAGCTTGCATATTTCATCACTTCCCGTTAAAAAGTCTGAAATTTTCATTTTTAAGGTAGGCAAAAAAAAAATAGGGTCAATCCAGTTTCCTCCCAATTAAAGTCTACTTGTGCTCAATTCCCAGCTTCCTTTACTTCTGAACCACAACCATTAGACAGAACTAGTGAGCATAATAAGAAACCAGCTGAAGAATGTTTGCTTTCCCTCTTCAGACTCATCATTACTGAATTGATGGTAGTTCCTTGTGATATATGAAAGGTTTTCTTTGGATTTATGATTTGATGTGAATTTACAAACAGGGTTACTCCTGGCAAGTACCAACCAGGAGAAATGTCACTGATTAAAACATGCACGCTTTCTTTCCTAGTGATTGCATTCTGATAATATTTGAAAGCTTAATGAGCTGTGGTACTTTCTTATCCTTGTGACTAGCAGAGACTTAGAACTGTGAATTAAATACATTTCTACTGAAAGTCCAGGTCAGGGTTGAATAAGACAAAACAAGGAGTTTACTAACTCCAAGTGCAGTTTCTTCTGTGCAAGCTAACATAAAAGCATTGCCCAGGCAACGGACACAGGAAGTTTGATACCAAGTCAACTTTTATCAGGAGAAGCAAATTCCAATTCTTAAAAATATCCTGACATATACACTTCTATGCCCGTTGTAACTTAATTCCAGCTGGCAACTAAGCACCACAGAGCCAATCCCTGAGAGAGCTCCAGGGCTGAGCTAAAGACAGTTTGACGGGTGAAGAAAAGGCTGCATGCACAAGCCGGTTCCATGGGGTCCATCACATGTAACAGCTCCTCAGGAAAACCAAGGAATTATTGGGGAATGCCATTCCGAACACAACAGTTTTCCCTCTTCCTTCTTGCAGCTTTATATGCTCAGCATGATGTTCTGCGGTGTGGAATATCCCTTTGGCCAGTTTGGGCCTGCTGTCCTGGTTCTGCTCCCTCCCAGCTTCTCGTGCCCCTCCTCACAGGCAGAACAGGGAACCTGGAGTCCTTGACTTAGAGGAAGCACTAGTAAGCAACAACTAAACCATCAGTGTGATATTAATATTATTCTCATACTAAATCCAAAACACACTACTGTACTAGCTACTAAAATGAAAATTAGCTTAATCCCAGCTGGAACCAGGATAATGGCAATGGCCATAGAAGTATTGCTGTTTAATATATTAATCAGATTTTTGCAGATGTAACCTAGTTGTCAGCTGGGAGACTCCCTCCTTTCCTACCCTGAGCTATTGACAGTGAGCGAGTGGGCTGAGGAGCAGGTGGAGATGAGGAGAAAGCATATGCTACTCCATTTCTGCCAAAGCTTTTTCACATATTTTCTGTACTTCCACTGATCTGTTTAGTGGATTTTCATTCCTCCCATACTAAACAGAGGATGGGGGTCTATGGACAAGTGGGAACTTAACAGTGCTAAAGCTGATATGAAAGTTTTTTTTATCTGAAAGCCATGTTGTATGAAGACAGTCTATTTTATTAGAATAATTCATGTCATCGGGAAAAAGCAGATGAGCTTTTGGGCATACAAGATCTTCTGGGGAAGTTGTGCACACATTTTGTTGAATAATAAAATTTCTATCTACTGAAGTAGTGTTCATCATCCATGGTTAACTTAAACTTGCCTTTAGCAAAGAATATGAACTCTTTTGAAAAACCCTGAATAAAACTGAGAAGAATTGCATGGAAAAGATTTTTCTTTTTACAGTCTCTGAAAGTGGCACAAGGTGAAGATTGCAGCATGCTGGGCACTCTTTCTGCACAGGGAACATGCAGACTTTGTATACTCTGCAGTTTTCCTCTCACAGTCCTAAGTGTGCCTTAGTTTTCATACCATGGAGCAACTCTTCAATGCAGGATTTGCTTCAAACAGCAGATTTCTCCACTGGGATGGTAATTAGGCTGCCAGTTCTAACTGGAAGTTACAGGATTGTCATTGATCCATATTAGGATCACACTGAGTAACTGCAGCGCTTCACAAAGGCCATGAGATATTGATCTGGTGATAACCAGCAGCAGCTTTAGACCTGGGCCAAATCCAAGGAACAGTCCTGATGTGAAAGGACATGTATTGTGCTCAGTGAGGCATTTTGTCGCCTGAAACTGTGGAGTTAGTGATCCAGGACTACATTAAATAGAAACAGTCCAGTGAATATCCAGTGTTGCTCAGTCACCCAGAGACATTATGATAATACAGCACTGTGGAGACATAGACTGTGACTGAAATAATTGTGACTGTTAATTTTCAGCCTTGTTGCTAATGGACATTCCTCTGGAAGTCATTATAAAGATGTAGGGAAACATAATTTGGAAGACAATTACTTTTATTTAACTCTAGACTGAAAGGCAAAGGAATTTATGAGGTTTGTAACTATTTGATGTTATTTCTATAAAATGTGTTTGCTTCCATAAACAGGCACATAATATCTCCACACAAAAGAGTCAAAGGGATGAAAATCTGGCTTCATTCTTCTTTTTAGACAAAACATGACAGCATAACATTGTGATGAAGATCTGGGAGGCTTTCTGCTCCATTTTAGTTCTTCTTCTTAAATGTCTGATGGCACACCTGGTCTTCACATGTCAGTTCCTACAGTATTAAAACAATTAGTAAGTATATAGCGGTAGAAGTTTTATTTTGCAAATATATCAGATCCCACCAGAAATTGCTACAACTGAGCCATTGCATTAAAAACATGCTTATGAAACAGAGAACAGTAAGAAAAGTGCACTCTATGTAACCAAACAGCAGGTATGCACCTCATGTTGCCATAATTAGTTTTTGATACATGAATTGAACTCTAAGAAGAATAAACATGAACAATGCATTAAAATTTTGCTTTAATTCAAGGCATTTTCATGTTCTGTTATTAAAACAATATACTGTAATAGTTTATAATTCATGTTACCTCAAAATTCATGAGATTCACTGAAATAAGGAAATAAATAAAAAAAGAGGAATGCTTTAAAAAGCTGGTTTGCTTCAGAGGTGTGCCCAGCTGTTTCTCGGGGCCAGAACAATGCACCATTGCTGCCCAGGGCTGCAGTACCCCCCTAAAGGCTGGCACATTGCAATGCAGCCAGTTTGGTTGGTGCCATCAGGCAGCATTCCTGAGCCAAGCAGGGCTTTAGAGGGACTGGAGCTGCCTTGGTGGCCAGCAATGAGCCAGACCTGCAGGACACGTTCTGAAGACTGCTGTAAGGATCTGCTTGGCTTTGTTTCCACCAGCCTCAGTCTAGATCTTGGTGCCAGCATGTAGAACATTTTAAGTCAGCTTTTGAATGTGTGTTCAGACAGAGCTGGAGAAGTGTACTGGATAGGTGATTTTAGTTGGGTGGTTTTGGGTTCCTGTCTTTGCCCTTTCAGGCACAGAAGTGGGAGCCAATGTCACTGCCCACACCAAGCACGTGTAGAGCAAACCTGTGAAGGAGCAGACTGCTTGCAGCAACGCTTAGGACAGAACAATGGGCTCTTCTCAAGAGTCTCTCTCCATCCACCTACTGTGCCACCCAGTATTGTCACACTCGTTTCCTGATTGCTTTCCCAGGAAACTCTGCAATCATTATCATTATGAGAAATGTTCAAAAAATGAGTAGATGTGGCACTTTGTGATATGGGTTAATGGACATGGTGGTGTTCAAAGTTGGGACTTTGTGATCTTGGGAGGTCCTTTCCAACCTTAATGATTCTGTGATTCTACAATACTGTTATTTTTGAAATCGTTCTGCACATCACTGATTGTTGATTTCCTGCACAGGCTTTTCTGGCCTCTCTTGGACTCACCACATCTATCTTTGGGCTTGCTACTTTAGATGTCTGAATTTATTATTGAACTAAGAAAAAATAATTGTAGTATAGGCTGTTTGTGGGATCCTCTTGAATATTCAGGGGTTTCTGACCTGTATTACAGCACAGTGTACTAAAATTTCATATTGCTTTGCTCAGAAAAAAAGAATAACATTTATCTTGCAATCTGAGTGGGTTTTTTTCTTCCTTTGCCCCGCCCCTCCACAGTGATTATATAAGGATAAGATTATGTTAGAGCTGCAGTGTAACAGGAAGGGTTGAGAGCTGGAGGGAAGTGGATTGGAGAAAAAAAAAAAAACACTGCAGGGCTATAACTTAATTGAGAGCAGGTGGACAGAAACTGAAAATTCCTGAGTTGAAGTGGAGGAGAAATTTCCTCAGAGTTCAAAGATCAGAACTGTCTAAAGACCTTTCTAACTAGAAAAAAATAACAAATCCTTTGAAATGGAAAACCTGAGCCTATGCTGCAGCCTCAGTGACGTGCTGTGGATCTGTGGAGCAGCCCTTACCAGATGCAGGATGTCTCCTTCAATCCAGTGCTTCCAGCCCCTGTTGTTCTTCTCGCCTTTCTGAACACAGACCAGTTTGTCACCATCCCAGGTCACCAGGGACTGCATGAATCAGATAATTAACTCACATTAGCCAGAAGTTTATGAACACATAAAAATAAGTTCAAACAATATGAATGTACAATTACAGTTGCTTCCTATCATTCTCCAACTTCCTCATAAAAAACCCCCAAAGCATTTAAACAAAACCCAAATGCATTCAGGATGACAACAGCGTGACAGAGGGAAGATTTTGCAGTGCTTAGTTGTCATTTCCATGTGTTTTTTCACATACATGAGCAACAAGTGTTCACATTAACTGGTAAATTGTTGAGTGTGTTTACAGCTACTGGTGCAATACAAGTAAAGAGCATTTTTTCCTTGCTGTTTAAAGCCATTAATGAAAAAAGTTATAGGGTTTCATGAGTGAATATTTGAAGGCTTGTATTGCAAAGTGCAATGCTAACCTTTTCTAGCTCTGCATAAAGTAACAAGAGGAACAGTACATTACTATCATCTCATAGACTATATTTGTTTGTATATTTTACTGTAATTTCTTAAATGTCTGATGGCACACTTGGTCTTCACATGTCAGTTCCTACAGTATTAAAACAATTAATAAGCAATTTAAAGAGGTGTGATCATAAACCAGACAAAGTGGCTGACCCTGCCTGGGCAGACAGGTTGGACCTGGTGTTCTCAGGAGATCCCTTCCACAGTCAACCATCTCCTGCTCTGGCATGATTCAGTCTGGCAGCAGCAGACAGGGTACTGGGTGTGCTGATTCTTGTCCAGGAGCAGGATAACCTCAGCAAGGAAAAGTTCTCTTCACAGGATTATCTGAATTATCTGTCTACAGATGTGCCAGAGTACATTCAAAGCAACTTTGTTGGAATTGTTCTGCATTTGAACCACTGTCCTTTAGGGACGTATTTAGCCATGTATCAGACAACTCCTTATTAGACACCAGTTACAGTCCATGAAAGCTCAGTTATTATAATGCTCCAAGTGTATTGGGAGCTTAATTTATTTTCTAGTCCAGCACTGGATGATTTATTTCTCTTATGAGGCAGCTTTCCATTAATAATGAGACAAAACTCATTCAATTTCAGTTAATTTCTTTCTTATTTACGGAATTTTCAAGCTACATGCTCTTTAAATTATCCATGCCCTCTTTACATTTAAATGTTGCCTACCAATTTTATTACCTTCATCTAACTTTAATGTGTTTGAGGCATTGTTTTGTTAATAGAATGACCAGAAAATACTTTTAGAGCAATTCAGAAAGTAATGGCATGACATGCATACTTTTTCCTTCTCCTCTCTGGAAATAAATAACATTATTTGTTTAGAAATGAATATTAGGCAAAAATAATTATAAATGCACCCTAGGGTTTTATCCAGGAAGGAGTTGAGTTCCTTCCTTCCTTCCTTCCTTCCTTCCTTCCTTCCTTCCTTCCTTCCTTCCTTCCTTCCTTCCTTCCTTCCTTCCTTCCTTCCTTCCTTCCTTCCTTCCTTCCTTCCTTCCTTCCTTCCTTCCTTCCTTCCTTCCTTCCTTCCTTCCTTCCTTCCTTCCTTCCTTCCTTCCTTCCTTCCTTCCTTCCTTCCTTCCTTCCTTCCTTCCTTCCTTCCTTCCTTCCTTCCTTCCTTCCTCCCTCCCTCCCTTCCTCCCTTCCTCCCTTCCTCCCTTCCTCCCTTCCTCCCTTCCTTTCTCCCTCCCTCCCTCCCTCCCTCTTTGCAGAGCAAGGCTTTTGTAGTGGTGATGAGCATTTGAAGAGCATTAAGTAATGGATTTCAGGAGTGATGAAGCTGAGTCCTTAGATCCTCAGTAATGCCTTCCACTGATCTGAAGAGATGTGGGAGCAGTGTTTTTAAGCATAGACTTTGACACAGGAATTAGTACCGCTCAGTGCCCACTGGACAAGGAAACAGAAAGAAAATTTAAATATAGGGATGTTCAGGATAGTGAAAAAATATGTGCCTTACTCTTTGATGGCTTGCAGTGCTGTGAATGAGAAATAATTTGAAAGAAATCATAGGAATTACACTGCACAAAATTAGTTTGAGAATTAAAAGTGATCCATGGTGAACAAACCATGTCTTCTGCTAAATTTGTGCCCCGCCATTGAGGGATGATGTGAGTTCAAATATAAACATGTCCTTTATGTTGCCACTTTTCCTGTGGCAATTGCCAAAACCAACAGGTCTTGTTGCCAGAGAGTTTTGATCTCAGCTTCTCAGAGTTTGGCATCTGTGAGCTGAGTGGCAGAATAGAGATGTGGCAATAGAGGTGTGGGAATCAGCAGAGATTCAGTGAATAATGACCAAAGGAGGAAGGGGATGCTGGATTAGGCTCCTACAGGGACAGCCAATGGAAATTTAAGATCTACTGGCCTTTCTACATCTGAAAGTGTTGCTTAAGCTTTTAGGGTGAGAAGAAAGTAAAACAGAGGCAGTATTGATACAGAAACATGAAACTGAATTAAGGAAGTGAATCAGTGCTTGTGTGTGTTTTTCTCCTCCCTGACTTCTCTGAGAGAGCCTTGTTTGAATCCCCCAGGAACTGACTCTGCCACAGGAGGTAGGGCAGGGGTACAACAGGGCCCTTGATACAGGTGTTGTCCACAAATCTCCCTGAAAGGTGTCTGAACAAATGGCCACAGCTTCCTGGGGCAGTTCTGAGCTCAGGTTACTCCAATTATCCCCAGGGCAGTGGAGCAGCCACTGCTGCCCTCCTGCCCTCCTGCCCCGCCACACTGCAGGCTTTGGCTCACATCATTTTCTTGCCCCTTCCCAAAGCTCCCCTAACAGTAAAAGCTGAGTGCAGGGTTATTTTTAACAATGTCTAACTGTTAAACTGCCCAGCTGAGACTGACTGGTGAAAACCCAGCCATCCCAAAATGAAAAGTTTTATTGACGCAGTCCTAAATTCACAGGGATCAACCCCCAGTTTCCTTAAGGAGGATGCATAGATAAAAATGCAATTCTGCTGCTTTCTAGATATATAAGGTGTATGGGAAAAGCTGGAAAAATCCCCTACTAGAAAAACCCAGTTAATGATTGTCCTCATGTATCTCAGTAGCCATCCTGATTTACATTTCTAATAAATGCTTGTAGCAGGAAAGAAAACTGTCTCAGGATGCAAATTACTTCTGCTTTATAATAATCCTCTGATGTCTGTAAAATGTTGGGGCTTTACTGAATGTATTCAGCTGATTTTGGCAACTGCAGGCTCCTGGTGCTGACTGCAGTATGAACAGATACCAGGTCCTGAGTTTTTACCTTTACCACTCGGTTATCCAGTCCTTTGGTGTGCTCCTCAAACTCCACTCCCACCGTGTAATCCACATCATAGTTTCTGAATGTACTGAGTGTTCTTGTTTTAAAATTGTCTCCATTTTGAACAATCTCCTTTGTTTGTTTCAAGTGTTTTGCAATCTTACGAGTTGCAAAATCAATACCTGTCAAAAACCAGAAAAAAGAGTGAAAATTCCAGTATTTGCTAATGAAAATAAAGCCCCACAGCATTTAAATTTACACATTAAAAAATAAAGCAAGTGAAACACAGTTCCACAAATGCTTTTACCTGTGGCATTTTTCAGAGAAAAAGATAATTTCAAATAAAAACCATCTTGTGTTTACAAGTACACTTTCAACCTGAGTCTCTTCCACTGATAGTAAATTTATTTATTAATGGGATATCTGTGCTAATGTTGTGAACATACAGCCAGGAGTGAATAAATGCTGGTGTGTTTAATCACCTGAATTTTTTCGAGAATGTGAAAAAAGAGGGGCTATTAAGCCTGACAGTGCCTTTTTTTGTCTCACTAAAGAAGGACCTCAGAGTAACACTCCTTATCAGAGATTTAGCATGTTAGACTGGGTATGCAATCAAAGGAGAATAAGTGTGTAATCAAGAGGACCTGGATGTGTTACTTGTATGATGAACCTGTAGTCTGGGAGTATACAAGAGGTTAATGAATTAGCTTAAAAGAATGAAAATTATATTAATGAAAAAAGAAACAATCAAAAAGTGAAATCCATAATTGTTCATTAGCAGACCCACAAATAAATTGCAGTTCAAAAGGAGATAAATTCAAAGTCAAAAGTCACAAACGTATCCGTGTAGAGCATTTGACAGTTTCTGTTTCATATTCTGTCAAACATTTCCTGCAGTGCTGATCTCCTGGACCCCCTTATTTTGTTCATGATGAGGACTGACACGATACTGCACGCAGCTGCTTGGCATGGGAAGCTCTTCTGGCACCAAAGGGAGAACATCCCTGGCACCATCCCAGGCTGCCCACCAGCCCCTAGAGCCAGCAGCATCACCATCTGCAAGAAATATTTCTGACCAGCTGCCAGGGAACCTTATTGTGGTGCTGCATGCCCATGAAATCAGCTGCCATGCCTCTGCAGGGGAATGAAAGATGGGTTTGGCGTGCGGCCATCCTCCGGTGCGTTCACCTGGGCGTTAATCACTGCCAGCCAGCAACTCCCTCGCTAATGGAGCCCTTTTCCTTTGCTAGATTCATTATCCTACTTGGGAAGCACTATTGGAATTGAGTAAGAGGACAGGCTTGAAAAAAATGTGACTTTTAAACATGGGGAATAATGGTCTTGTTCAGTATTTATATTCAAGACTTCTTGGGTATATTTTATCTGCTGTGGTGGATTAAAGGTATCTCTGGGGCTGATTCATAGCCAGGCGACATAAAATTTAGTTCTCTCTGAGGGAAAAATGTCTAGACCTCTAAAGAAATGCTATTTCTGACTAATATATTGGTCTTGTAGCTCCTGGAGAAAAATCAGGCAGGTTTTATTAAAACAGGGTTTTCATAACTGCATTTTGAACTATATAAGCAATAAAAATGATATGTAGTTCTATTACGGTATATTTAAGTACTTTGTAACGTGTTTATGATAAAATCAAACTTTCTGACTTAGAGGGCAAAACTAATCTTTAATTAAAGTAATAGAAATGTGTATGCATTAATTAAAAGGACAGATGAATTTTAAAGATCCCTCAAAACCTCAGTGTGCTTTGAATCTGAGCACATTGTAACTTAAAATATCTACAAAATGTTAAATGTTGAGAAAAAGAGGAGAAGAATAACTTTTCACCCTTTCCCAGCCATTTCTTTCTGAGAATCACCTACAGCATATGCATCTTTGCAGTGGTTTTGGTGTTGGGTTATTTTTGCTTATTCACTGGCAGTTTTAAATTACTATAGCTGATTGTGTACATATAATTTATAGTTTATATATGCACATATGCACAAAAATCACTCCAATAATGTGTATCTTTCCCCTGAAATTCAAGACATTGTCCTAATCATTCTCATTATCCCAATCATTCTCATTTTCAAGCACTCTCTCTTTTTGTCCCTCACAAGTGTATATGCATATTATTTACAGATGTCCCTGAAGTTATTGATTGTTTTGTCCACAAATGCAATAGCTAAAAACCATGAATAGTGAAGCTTGCCTTTCTCTCTTAAGACAGTTAAAACTTTGAGAAAATTACAGCTGCTTTCAGTTGTTGATGAATAATGATGAGAGTTTATGTTTATGTATTTATGTATTTCTTCTATTTCAATCTGAACAGATCAATCAATTAGGATTAAATTTCTTTGGTAAAACTAGTGGAAAATCAGTTAAAGTGTCAAATTTTTCATCTCTGTACCATAATTAGTTCAAAGCACTAATTAAATACTGGCATTATTGTTACCTTACTGCTGTAGAATATCTTATTCCTCTTTAACCAGCTTGTGGCTCCACTGTTACAGTATGAATACACCAGGAGTGAAAAAGAGCTTTTAGATCTGAAAACTTGTTGGTTTGGGGCTTTTCCCCCCACTTACATCCATTTTTTTCATTTATCTAAATAAAGAATAACATCTGTGGCTACAAGCCTTCTTTTGCTTATATATTGAGATCATTGCAATTTTGAAAACAATTACTTGATTTGTAATGTGATTGGCAGAAACCCTTAATGCCACAATGTACATTACAGAAAACGCTCATTAATTTTTAGAAGGATTTGACTGAGAATTGAACCATTTTCACTTGATATAAGTAATATTTTGTCATTTACCTAAAGCAACCATGTAGCCTTCAAAGTTTTCATTGGTCACCATTTCCCAGGTCCCATTGTAATCGGCAGGCATGGTGGCGAGAGCCTAAACCCAGCTTCAGCTTGGGAGGAGAGGCTGGAAACAATCTCTGCTCAGGGAATCTTTTATAAACCTTTCCAGACCTTTTCCTCCACTCAGGTTTATGGCTTTAGAGATAATGCAGTTGAAGGGGCAGAGTGATAACCCTGGAAAATTTGCTTTCATTGACAAAGTTCAGCGGAACAGCTGGCAGACAAGGAACAATTTCAGAAATATGAAGTAATACAGGATATGATTTTACAGTGACCTTTGTAGAGAACTGCTGGCTATTACGGGATACCTTTGAAATATATTGAACATTGTGGCAAACTGTACAACCCAGTTAAAGTTTCCAAGGTGAATTGGCTTTTAGCTCCTTTCTACATGTCACTTTGCCTTATGAATTTGAGTCTTACAGAACTGACCCATCCAGAACTCCCACTTAAAGGTTATGGAAGTTGTGAATGTGAAACAAATGTTAGACAGGGCAGGAAACTCCTGCCTGTCTAAGAAGAATACTCTTCTTCAAAATATTTTTGCTTTTGTTTGATTTTCAATATATCTGCCATATACTAATAGCTATACTTATACCGACTACACTTCCATATTTTTGTTTTGGTTTAAGAACAAGTTTAGCAAATATAAATGAAATCAAAAGCAATCATACTTAGTATCAATTCTGCCCTGAAAATGATTTTGTAATTCCTCCGAAACATGTCAGTTTGCATTGGAAATCTAATTTATACATAGTTGTGGAGAAAAACATGGATTTCAGTTGTGCAGATAAGCACATTCAGAATGTGTCAGAATGGAGAATGTGCAGTCAAACTTTATTGGAATTTCAAGTAAGTACTAAAAGCAAATTAATTTAGGATAAGGTTTTATGTTATGTGGTTTTAATCAGTCAAGATAATGTACAGATGGTTCTATGGAGACAATAACTGAAGTGACCAAAAGTAAAAAACTTCTTGAACTCTTTGCCTTCTTCTCCTTTTTTTTTTTTTTTTAATAGGAATATTTTTTTAAAATGTACTAGAAAAGGTATTAAGGTCTAGATCTTCAACTCAGAAATAAGTAAAGGGAAGAGTTACTGTTCTTATGATTTCTCTTCTGTGCCATTACTTTGTCAAAATTTAAGAATTTAAGGCAAAATTCCACAAATGCTGAAACTTTGTACAGGGATTAAAAAAACCCTCAAAACAAACCCAAAGAAAGTTGAGAGTTTCTGGGAGTTGAGTTCTTAAAATGCCTCAACTTAAGGAGCTAATTTAAGACAAGGAAAAGAAGTAGCCTGATCTGTACTTGTAGGAGCCCTGGGAGGGTTTTCAATGGGGCAAAGGCAGAGGGAACTGGAAGCTGGAGCTGAATTCCTGTGGGAATGCCCAGGAAATGACCTGCAGCCCTAACTGTGGGGTGCACTTGGTCTGCAGAGCAGTTTATCCAGGGAAGTTGACAGCTTTACATGGATGAGAACTTGTCTCATCTCCAGCACGATTTATTGGGCTGATCACATCTACAGCTGATGTGTTTGCTTCCACTCAGAAATTCCAGATGGAACTCTATGAGTGATGCCACATTGAAAGTGAAAATTAAACCCCTCTTGTTCTGTAGTGTATTATGTAACACTTCTGCAATATTTGGATTTTGCACATCTTTCTTAGCCTCTGTGTTGCATCAATGTCAATAATACATGATTACTATTTACACATTTTTTGTATATATAAAAAGGTCCTGTAAAAATAAGAATATATCAGACTGTCTACAACTGTCACCTCCTAGAATCAGAGCAAGTGCTCTGATATTTTAGATATATTTAGATTATATTTAGATATATTTAGATTTTATATTTAGGTGAGATACTTTAGATGCTCACTGATTTCAGTTCTGACATAGTTTACTTCCTGTGTAACACTCATTTTGATGAGGTGGGGAAGAGATTGAAGCTGTATGTGACCATCATGTGACCATCAGCAATTAATGTCCATTAATAGAGTAACAGAAGGCTCCATTGCTGTAGATGTGCAGAGCTAGGCACGTTCTGAGAGAATGAATTATGACATGGATACATCCTTTGCACAAAATTTCATAACTTGTTAACAGTATAGACATATACTTGTACAGCTTTTCCCCACAGTGTTTTGGTTATGCTCATCCCTTATTAATTCTTTCATATTTTCCCCCCAATATATGTATTTTCTAAGCACATGTTTATCCATCAGCCTAAATTAGCATTTTGAGCTTTTCAGGTAAAAATACAACCAGGAGGTTTACAGACACTACATTTAACCAATCAGAGAACTGGCTAAGTAGGGAATTAATAAAACATGAAATATTGACTTGACAGAGTTCTGTGATGCTTCATGAGCTTTAAAAAAGTGTTGCACTAAGGTCCGCAAAGAGAATATTCAGTTTATGAATCAATATCTTGAGAGACAGTACCTCCACCACAGGCAGATGCCTGCCTAAATCACAGGGTGCCAGGGCACAGCACAGGTACAGCTCACACCATTGCCTGAAAGCCCTGGGTGAAGAGTTCCAACTCAGCTCTACCTTGCCAGTTAGACTGACCTGCCTCTCAACAAAGTTTTCAAATTTTTACTTATTATCTACTTGAAATCTTATAAATTATTCTTTGTGCTTTATTTATTGTTTATGTACTCTACACACAGAGAGAAACTTTTAAAATGGCAAAAGAGTATTACCTTCCCATGGAAAAATCTACATTTGGAGAAATGAAATAAGGTGCCCTCTCCTAATTGTCATGACTGTTTTGTTCTCAGCACCCTTTTCTTGCAAAACCACTTGCTAAAAACGAAACGCTGAGCTCATATATTTTTTTCAATACAAGGCTCAGATGTATGGCTGAATACTAAGTCCTTGGAAATAAAGAAAAGTCACAAAAAATAAGCTGACTTCTGCTAAAGACTTCTGCCTAAATAATTTTCCAGTCTTTATCTGTGCACAAAGAAACAAAGATGGCATTGCTTGCTTTGTTCCTATGAATCAGGATTGATTAGAGGCAGTTTGAAAGGAAAAGCTCTTATGGAAAACACCCAAATGCTGTTTGTGTGGAAGAGTCAGCAGTCATGGATGCTGCTTCCAACACTTACAGTTCCTCCCATTGTGTCTGAGACCTGCCCAGAGAGAAATTATATCTGGGTAGGTGAGCAAAGCTCATTTTTCCTGTCTGAAAGAGCTGCAAGTGCATTCCCCTTGAAAAAGTTCTTCTGTCAGAGCTCTATATAAAGCACAGCAGGACCAGTCAAATGGAATTTTCCTTGTAAACTTTAGGGGATGGTGTTTTGAAGAGTCTGTAACATGCTTCCCACTCTGCCCTTGCCTCATTTAATTTTTCTTTTAAATTATCCAATATGCAGATATAACACAGGAGAGAAATGCCTGGTACTCCCCCAAGCAACCCCTACACTCCTCATGCTTGACAGCTGGGACTTTTGCCTGTAGTTATTTGGTTGTTTAACACATGGGAGTATGGCAAACTGCGTAAATTGTTCTTAGCAACTGAATCCCCCCGAAGGATTCAGATAGCAGCAGCATGGTCACAGACACCTATTATTATTTTTAACTTGTTAGCACATTGCACTCACTAGGTTTATTTTAACTTTTTTAGAAAATTAATCTCTTGCAATGTAGTCAGTGATGGCTGCTGCTGCAGAAGCTGTCAGAGGTGCTGTCCCGCAGGCTGGGGCTCTTTCTGCACAAACACCAGGACACGTTCCGAGCACCAGGAGTGCTCTGGCAGGAGGCAGCGGGCTCCTTGTCCATGTGAGATGTCCTGCAGGCCTCAGCTGCGGCCCGGGGAGCTCAGCAGGATGTGGCAGGAGCAGGAGGAGAGGCGTGTACAGCAGGAGGGGACAGAACCCCAATGTTTTGTGTGCAAAAGGGGCTCAGCAAATACGGTTTGCTGGCCCATGTGGGGGTTGCCTGCCCCCAGCGTTGCCTGGCCCTGCTCTCCCTTGGCCATCCCTGGCTGATCCCAGCCTTTCTCACTGCGTCGGGCACACTCGGTATGAGCGAGCCCCCTTCAGCGCCTTGGAGCTGCAGGTTTGGCTGTGACCCCTGCTGTGACTGCTGCCTTCAGCCCTCCAGAGAGGCAATGGCAGCATTCCCAGAGCTGGGCTTCACTGCTGCCTTCAGCCCTCCAGAGAGGCAATGGCAGCATTCCCAGAGCTGGGCTTCACTGCTGCCTTCAGCCCTCCAGAGAGGCAATGGCAGCATTCCCAGAGCTGGGCTTCACTGCTGCCTTCAGCCCTCCAGAGAGGCAATGGCAGCATTCCCAGGGAGGGAATGGAAGGCCAGTTGTACATAGAGTTCTTGTTGCCCAAACACTTATTATTTGGTGTCAGCTCTCAGGTGATCATGCCAGAGCAGAGATCTGCAGGGACAAACTTGTTGACACCTAAGAGAAGGGGGAATTCCCTCATTCCCATCTCAGAACAGGAACTTGTCTGACGCCTCATGACAAACCAGGGACGGGGTGCAGATGCTGTGGGAGGATGAGGGTGTTGATACCAGTTTGGGTTTTGCTTTTTTTTTCTTTTCTATGTTCTCTGTATCCTTTGCACATATATCTGTACTCTGTCACCTATTCTGTAGGGGACAAATTTTCCCAGTACTTTTCCCTAGGCAGAAATAAAAAACAAATTCCAGATCTCCAAGCTCTAGGAGCTACAAGGCCCCTGTGCTGTCTTGGCTCTTCCTGGGAACCAAGGCTGAACATTTTTCCATATCTGCCCCTGAAGACCTCCAAATAAAGATCTGCTCTTACATTACTAAAATGATCTTGACTTTCATTTCCAGGTTGGGAAAAAGGCTACAGTGTACACAGGGCACACAGAGGTCAGTTATGCCAGTTCAGCACATTTTGTGTTTACCTTCAACTTCAGCAAAGATGTACAAAATATGCTTTAAATCACTCTTAGAAATAAAGTAATTGTTTTTCAGCCATGGAGGTTTTGTCTTTTTTCAGTAATTTTCACCTCTCCTGCTCCATCTGATTTTGTTGATGCAGTTGGATGCAGATGTTACAC